CTTGCTGAGTAGTGCTGAAAGGGCCCCAAAACCCCAAAACCCCGTGACACCTTCAAAGTGAATAGTAGAGTGATAGTAGAAACCTAACATATAAATTTTTAAATTCAATTTAATTCTAGTAAAATATGAACAGCCATCATTCCAGACGCATGACTAATATATTTGGAAGCACTGGCCAACCATTAACTAATGTTTCAGCTGTATCATCTACAACTTCAACACTCCAAAAGCAGATGTCAAAACCATCAATTGCTTTTAGTTCCAGTACCTAGTCAGGCTCTAGTCAGAATAACATCAATCATACAAGAAATACTTCGACTTTTGGAGGTAACATCTCAAAAACTGAGAAGTAAGGAAGCATCGCAAGCATCTCAAATCACTCTAAAATATCAAAGGAAAGTAGGTCAGTAAAGTAAGGTACAAAAACTCCTATAAATGTGAATAAAATTGGTGGAAACTAGCAATAATCAGGGACAACACAATTGTCATCTCCAAAGACAGCATCAACTGGTTCATCAACTTCTATTATGTACACAAATAAGAATCCTTCGATTATCAGCAAGCCTTCAACAAAAAAAACGCTTAACAATAATCTACTTAAGGAAAACCAGCACCCAAGATAAAATGATGCCGTAATCTACAATGAGAACAGAAGTCCTTCATACAGAAATGCTTAATTAATCACAAATTATCCAAATATCATAATGAGCAATACCTCAAGCAATAATTGCAACAACTAAAATTCATAGTATATCGCCACAACAGCTACATCTTCTCTAATGGAGTAAAAAAGCAATCAGATATTACAACCTAGAGAAGCAGATGAATTTAGTTTCGTAGCTGAGCATATAGAAGATGAACCTAGCATTCATGTCAGATCTATAACTCAGTTTTAATCTATTCTAAGTAAGTATCTATGAATTAAAATCAATGAATGTGTACTTTGCACAAAATTCAAATCATTTAATTTAATATTTAAGAATTTTTCTTATTTTCTATAGAAAGACCTGCAATGCAAAAAGAATCTACTTATGATGGAAGACAAACTGATTTCACAACTTAAACGAATGGAGGTGGATACAATCAATACATTTGTATTCCACCTAATGTAGTTTATGAAACATTTGAAGAGGAATAAAACTAGTTAACGATGAATACAAATCTTTTCAACAATGCAAATTAGTCAAGACTAGTTGTTAATTTACTCTCGTAACAAGATGACACTTTTCAGGAACCTTCAGCCTTTTTTGATGAGCATAACTGCTCTCAATCAGTGCTGCATAAGTGTTAAATGATTGAAATGTACAGTGTACCAAATAAACCTGCAAGATCAGACAAGATTTAATCTAAAAAATCTGAGGAATGCTATTAAATCCTTAATTAACTTATTGCTAAAGTGAAACAAGACGTATCACAAAGCATCATAATGAATCAAAGCAAAAATTATATGCTAAAAAATAGTAATCAAAACAGTCGCATTTACAGTAACAACAATCTGTATAAATAGACAGATATGACAAATGAGAGTGCATTTCCAAATATCACTAATGAAGAATTGCACTTTAGCATTAATAAATATAATAATTTTCATGGAACAGGAGCAAGTACCAGCAATATGATGATTGGAAATATCCTAGATGATTCTAACTCGTAATTCATTGGTAACGGTAACAATTCAACGATTGGCAATATCACTAATTCTACTATAAATAACAATGGAGGAACTAATGGAATGGGTGGAGGCTAATAGTCCACAGAACTTCATAAACTGCATTTACTCTAAACTCTGCAGTCACTTTAATATATAAAATAGGTTGAAAGACCTTCAGAAGATGAAATTTCGAAGAAATCTATATTCTTACCTCCTCCAAGAATACCTCAATAGCAAAAGAAAACTTTGATATTCGATTTAGATGAGACATTGATTCATTGCATAGATGATTTAGAATCAGAAGTTCCTGATACCATTTTAAATATAGCCTTTCCAAACGGTGAAATGGTCCAGGCTGGTATTAATGTCAGACCCTACGCCTTAGAATGTCTGAGAGAAGCTAATAAAAAGTACTAGGTAGTAGTATTTACTGCAAGTCACAAATTTTATGCAGATGTAGTACTAGACTACCTTGATCCAAAAGGAGAGCTAGTTCATTACAGATTGTATAGAGATAGTTGCTTCCAGACAGAAGATGGTGTTTATATAAAAGACTTAAGAATAATTAAAAATAGATCACTAAAAGATATGGTTATTGTTGATAATGCCGTTTACTCATTTGGCTTTTAGCTTGATAATGGTATTCCAATCATTCCATTTTATAATAACAGAGAGGATGAAGAATTACTGCATCTAATAAACTATATCAATACACTTGCATTCTTCAATGATTTAAGAGAGCAGAATGCTAAGGCATTTTAGTTGAAAGAATTAGAAAATGCTGAAATCACTGATTACCTGGAATATTTCTTTGGAGGCATAAATAATGGTCAATAAAATGTCGGTAAACCTCATATAGAAAACAATCCTATCTGCGGAATATCATAGGATTCCTAGGCTATTAAAGAGGAAGAAAATGAGTCTGAGAATAGTTATCAGTAGAATGAAGATAATAACAACAATAAAACAGATAACTCTTCCATGATAAATGCAGAGATGAATCCACCTTTAGAAACAACCAGTGAACTTGACTAAGAGGAGATTCTTAAATGCAAAAAGCGTCTAAATTTTATCGAGCTTAGCAGTAACAATAGTCAAATTACTACTCCAGATGGTAAAGAGCTAAATCAGGGTACTGGGATTTAAACACCAGCCTATCTTAAGAGTATTTCAAATTCTAAAAATAGCAGTAGCATCTTTAAAACTAATCAAATCAGCAATGATCTACCGAATGCTTATAAAGGAGGCAACAATAAGACTCAAAACGCAAACAATTATTTGCTATAATAAAGAAGTAAGAATTATTTCAAATGATTAATTGTTCTCTAGGTAGGAAAGAATTGTGATTACTTTATTGATCAACATTATATAATATGCATACATAGTTAGACTCATTGCCCCTAATAATTAAAGACTCTCGCTAAATATTTTGAATCCAAAGCCCTATATATTTGTTCTATATAAATTATTTTGTCTTTCTATAATGATTGAAGCAATTTTTAACAGTGGGGTTTTGGGGTTTTGGGGTTTTGGGG